GATAAAATTGTTTTAACTATCACAGACATTAAAGAACATACTTATGTATTTGTAATTCTATGTTCTATCAATATACTGTAATGTAAGGAACATTAATTCATTGTTTCAAACTGGTTATAAACTTGTATTTACTTATACTATTACAGACAAGAAGTAATATTTCATTATTTGATACATATGTATACAGATAAGTGATATTTCATCATCAGGTGCATGTTCTTTAAAGTCTTTGAGATATTGATCACTTATAAGATATATTTTGTAGAGATACAATTGTATTTTGTGACCTAAAAGGCATTTCACACAAGCCAGATACATGGTAACACTTACAGCATGTCTGTAGTAGTAATTACATGTGTAATACCTGTCTGTGATAGTATATACATGTGTAATACCTGTCTGTGATAATATATGCATGTGTAATAACTGTCTATAGTAGTAATTACATGTGTATTACCTGTCTGTGATAGTATATACATGTGTAATACCTGTCTGTGATAGTAAATGCATGTGTATGATCTGTCTGTGGTAGTAAATACATGTGCAATACCTGTCTGTGATAGTATATTCATGTGTAATACATGTATGTAGTAGTACATGTTTAATACCTGTCTGTAGTAGTATTTATGTGTAATACCTATCTGTGATAGTATATGCATGTGTAGTACCTGTCTGTAGTTGTAATTACATGTGTAATACCTATCTGTGATAATATATACATGTGTAATACCTGTCTGTAGTAGTAACTACATGTGTAATACCTATCTGTGATAATATATACATGTGTAATACCTGTCAGTAGTAGTAACTACATGTGTTATACCTGGATGTAGTAATATATATATATATAATATATTGCTGAGCATCAAAACTTGGATACACTTTTGTTAGAAAGACTTGTCCTAACTCAGTGCCTCTTGTTTATTATAAAACACAACAAAGATATCTTTATAAAGAAATATTGAGAAGGTTATATAATGATTTGTATACAGATTATACAAACTAGTAAACAGGGTAAATAAGAAGTGGTTTACAGAGTATATAAAGAATGGTATATAGAGAGTGGTATACAGGGTACATAAAAAGTCCTTATTTATTTAGTAAGGGTATCCTCTATAATACAGCCTCATTGCATAAGGTACCTGTATTTATCATCTCTATTATATATAGTGTATTGACTCATTTTCCAGAAGATACAATGTACATGATACAAAGTATATACATGGTATATTTCCGGTAAAGAGGAAAATAAGACATTTCATCTTCAAAAACCTGTAATTGTAGCATATCTCAGGTCTGAAAAAAACAGAGGCAAATCAGTCACTGGGCCAGAGCATTTGGGTGCCAATAGAGGAAGTTTGGGTGTAAAGATAATTAAGATCCCCCACCATGTAACCATCTGAATACATCCATGCTTACATGATTGGCGCCAGGGTCCTGCCCTGCCACAAGGGGCTTATAGTCCCCAAATTTTACATGAAATCAGTAAAGATCCCATCCAAATGCTGCTGGGCATGCAGAGGAAAAACACTCATGATACCAAGATAGTCCCTAATGGAGCCCACCCCATCCCTGAGGACTTACTCCTTCAGTCATAACATGGAAATTGTTGAGATCCCCAAGCTGATATTTCCTGTATGGTAAGAGGTAATCAACAACTTTTAATGAAAAATATTATTCCAGGTGAGCTATTAATAATGTGCCTGTGCTTCTTGTTCTTGAGAGGCCACAATAAGGGAACATAAATGGGAAACTCCAGCACAAGCAAACATGTTATATTTCCTGTGCATGCAATCAATATGAACCAATATCAGACAACTATTATAAAGATGAGGTACCTTACCTACAGAGAATATGGACCTTACATATACCTCATGTATATGTGCATGCATACAAGATGTACTTGATGTATAGGTGTAATCTGATGTATAGAAGGTATATATATACCTGATGCATGGAAGGTGTATATATATACCTGACCTATAGGAGGTGTATACCTGATGTATAGAAGGTATATATACCTGATGCATGGAAGGTGTATACCTGACCTATAGGAGGTGTATACATGATGTATAGAAGGTATATATACCTGATGCATGGAAGGTGTATACCTGACCTATAGGAGGTGTATACATGATGTATAGAAGGTATATACCTGATGTTTAGAAGGTGTATATCTGATGTATATGAGGTGTATATCTTAAGGTTTTTTTTTTCAATTGTCGCCCTTTTACTCTTGGGGAGGGGATACATTTACATGATGTGATCATGTGGACGCTAAGGGCCTGAGGGGCGGAGCCAAAAGGGGCCAAAATAGCTCAAACAATAATTGTCTACTTCCAGATCCAGATATGTTAAAAAACCTTCTCATGGATGGAAATATCCTGATGTGCTTAATCAAAATGTGAATTTCACAACCCCTTGGGTACTAATTCCTCCCTGGTGAGGGGCAAAATTCCCTGCTATACATATATATATATGTAATTTTTATTTTTGACATATCACAACAACAAATAACAATTGCATTACAACTCAGGTGACCTGTTAGGCCCATGGGGCTCTTGTTTTAAAGTACTGTATTAGTTGGATGTGTTGATATTGGCTTCCACTAATAATCCCACTACTTACCTATAATTAGATGTGGGTTACAGGGACATGTCACATGCTTATTAAGTGTGCTGCAAAATATATATATATACTGTGATGCCCATTCATTATATATAATATCTTCCATTGTATATATAAACGAGTACCTGGTAGTATTTGACATGTCCCTATAGACTTAAGGTTATGGAATTATGCACTATAGAAATATTCAAATTTCAAATATTTCATATCAATATGGATTGAGTGTCGGTGCTATATATTTAAAAAAAAAACTGTTCAAAACAGTTGATTCTCAAACAGAATTTGTTCTGTATCAAAAAAAAAAATGTTTTTGGGCTGAAATATCTATCCTAGATGTTATTATTAAAAAGAGTTATACAATACTTATCCACAAGTTTTTGAGTCTTGAACCCAAATGTTAAGCACATGTATCAGTAAACTGAATATTTCTCTTGGAATCTGCTTCAAACTTTGGGGGAAAAGTCCTATTTGTACCATATGCTCCCCTGAGTGATAAAATTAATTTGGAAAAGGAACTGAAATACAAGACATTCTTCATTTTTGAAATTATATCTAAGTTCCCTAAGTTTATGATCTAGTGCCAGTCACTTTTCATAAATAAAGATGATGAGATTAATTTAATATAATAAAATAACCTTGCTATAGTGATATGTACACATATATAGTATAAATATATTTTATTATGAATTTTTTCTTGGACTTAAAATTAACCTAGAGAGGTCAAGTTAGATCAAATGTAAAAATAAGCAGTTAATGTCCTGGGTATAATAAATTGTATTTCATTATAAATATTCTTCGTGTATTTTAGATTTGCTTATATCTGGTAGATTGCAAGATTCTATACCACCAGGTCTAAATTAACATATAGGACAGTCTTTGAAAAATGGGACAAAATCTAAACAAGCTACTTGGGGTGGGCGACTCACTGAGGGTAGGTTAACTAATTTGATTGGTTTGGAAGAACACTGAACAGATGTACATGTCCTTTACCTGTTAACTCACAAAATACATGAACACAAACTTTAAACCATGAATTTATAACACAGGAAAATCAGCAGAAATCAATAAATTTTGCTTACAACAAAGAAGACAAGTGATGTGAATGATAAATGTTGAATCAACTAACTCAGCTTAGCTTTCTGACATCAACTATAAGACAAGACCTCATTAATAATATAAACCAAACCCCTCCCCCCTCCCCAAATCAAACCAAACTAGAATTCTTCAACGAGGCTGTGTACGAAAAATAACATAAATCAAGATGAATTTTAAAATCTCACTTTATATTTGAGTATGTGGTGACTGATTATGACAATATTTCTGCGCTCTTACCGAGTTTGGCATCATTACACCTTCACAATATAAATCCTCAGCAAACTACTTTCATTTGTCTCATTCTGGTTGAAAATGACGTACAACAGATTAATAAATGACAGTGATTCTCACTAATAAGAACTATATCTAAACCTTTGGATTTTAGGCCAACGAAACTAAATTGTCATTTGAATAAATAAACATGTAGCAACTTCACAGACATTTTCTAAGTTCTCAATGGCTCTTTAGAACACTCGAGTTTCTTTCGGAAAAGTTTATAACTCTGGATTATTCCAGCCATTTTAGAATATATTAATGTGTGATTCCTAACACTAATATTTTAAAATGTATGCGTAAATATAATAATTAATATTTGAATATATCAACTAAAATTCTATATTGGTGTTAGTTATACTTCCTGTTGAAAAATAAGCTAGTTTTACACAGCTCCCGTTTATCGGACTCGTGATCTAAGTACAACGGGAGCAGTCATTTTCAAACATTTCTTCTTTGTCGGTCTCGCGAGAGTCTCGTTCTTTATAAGATATCTCATAAACTTTTCTTTATAAGATATCTTATATCTTTTATGAGATATCTTATATAATATATAAGATATCTTATAAAGAAAATTAATTGAGATATCTTATAAAAGATATAAGATATCTTATATATTATATAAGATATCTTATAAAAGATATAAGATATCTTATAAAGAAAAGTTTATGAGATATCTTATATCTTTTATAAGATATCTTATATCTTTTACAAGATATCTTATAAAGTATATAAGATATCTTATAAAAGATATAAGATATCTCATAAACTTAAAATAAGATATCTTATATGTTTATAAGATATCTCATATGTTTATAAGATATCTTATATGTTTATAAGATATCTCATATGTTTATAAGATATCTTATATAATATATAAGATATCTTATATAATATATGAGATATCTTATATAATTTGGTTAAGTACTGGATCAACATTGCTCCATGAATAAATGACAACTTGGCTTGCCATAGTTATGCGTACAAATGTTCTAATGACAGATATGCCCACAAATGCCCGAAACACTGACATGCTCACAAATACTCCAAAGACGGACATGCTTATAATTACTCAAAGGACGGACGTGCGTAAAGATACTCAAAAGACTGATATGCGTACAAACACTCCAAAGACAAACATATCCACAAACACTCCAAAGACAGACATACGTACAAACACTCCAAAGACAGACATACCCACAAACACTCCAAAGACAGACATACCCACAAATACTCCAAAGACAGACATACCCACAGACACTCCAACCACAGACATGCGTACAAACACTCCAAAGACAGACATACCTACAAATACTCCAAAGACAGACATACCCACAAACACTCCAAAGACAGACATACCTACAAACAATCCAAAGACAGACATACCCACAAACAATCCAAAGACAGACATACCCACAGACACTCCAACCACAGACATGCGTACAAACACTCCAAAGACAGACATACCTACAAATACTCCAAAGACAGACATACCCACAAACACTCCAAAGACAGACATACCTACAAACACTCCAAAGTTAAACATACCCACAAACACTCCAAAGACGGACATGCGTACAAATACTCCAAAGACAGACAAACCCTCAAACACTCCAAAGACGGACATGCGTACAAATACTCCAAAGACGGACATGCGTACAAACACTCCAACGACATACATGCGTACAAATGTTCCAAAGACAGATATGCCCACAAATTCTCTCCTAACTAAATAACTTCAGAAATTAAGCATACGATAATAGTGAAATGATTGCATCGCCGAGACTTTAATTCAACTTTTAAACTTAATCTTTGGTAAGGGGAAAGTACCATCATCACAAAATATATCATTGACATTATGATTATAACTGTTATGAAATATTGATTTTCATCATTTTAACACGATTATTCACTGTGAATCCTTTGTAAATGATATAGATATTTATTAGTCGAAATTGAGCATTTATTGAAATGCCAGAATATGGTGTACTTTCATTGTACATTCATCAAAAGTTATATACCAGCAATGTAAAGTGATACATGACATTGGCAAAAAATGGGGACATCTACACATTTTAAAACACGCCACAAACTTGCAAATAACAAGACTTAACACAATGTTACCTTTGTTATGAGCAAGTGCCCTCATATATCATACATTAAACGTCTGTGAAATATCTATTTGTAACACCAATGATAATCAAGGTAAGGCTCGAATGATTTAACTGTTCTTGTTGACAAGTATCAGGTCGCTGCCTGTTACAACGTTCTGTTAAGACCCGCCCTATTCTTATTTAAATACTCATTGCCTCTTGTAGTAGTATTTTTTCTTATTGGGTATGAAGAATTAGGACACTTCGGGATCATATTACCCATTCATAGTTTTACAGATTTCGATCATAGCTCCTCTGGCGATTCTATACGCTGATATTTGGAGCTGCAAATGTCTCTCTGATCACCAAACCAAACCAAACCTCTCTGATCATGACAGTTCTGTCGTACCTGGTATTAGCTATTTAGAGTTTAAATGTTAGCAATTACTTCCAAATACTTTACTATGTCTCCACACATATTTTATATGACATCTTACAAGTCATTTACATTATTTACATTTGCTCTGCAATGTCACTATGTAAACCAAGTAAAAGAAATGTATCCCTTGTCATAGTGCATTAGTCTATCTCACATTATGTGTATAAATCTGATCTTTCCTGTCTCCCTCAATCTTCTCACTTTCTCTATTCCTTTCTCTCTCCTATTACTTTTCTTCTTTCCACTCTTTCTATACCTGATCAGTCGCTGCCTGCTTGTGAAATTTTTAAAAGAGACAGATTTACATAAGTTTCAAACTTTTTTTTTCTGAATCCTTGTTGCATAAAATGTATGTTATACAATGTTATTGTGAAATGAAATAAAATTTAAATCAAGTAAACTTCGTTTCAGGTCATCACTGCTATGAACTGAAATGAGTACTAATAGGAACGTGACCAAAAAGTTAACAAACAGTACGGAGTCACGTTTTACTCTCGTTTGAAATTTTTGAGCGAGCGAGAGGTTTTCTATTCCAGCATGAAACTAAAGCAGTGATATTTATTTCTATTAAAATTACCATACTCTATACTTTTACACAGGAATAAAAATACATTACCAAAAACACCCACCACAATTAATCTTGCCTACATCCGTGACACAGATCAATGCTTTCTAACTGTCCAGCACTTCTGTTTTCCGCTTCTTTTAAACTGAAATGTCTCTATCAGTGTCACTCGGCTAGAGTAACACGACCAGAGAAAAATCCGTCTTTCCAGCTTTCAAAATGAAGTCGATCAGCAATAGCATGTCTAATCTTAGTTCCTTTGCTTTTCTTTAATATCAACAAATAACTGCATTCATATTGCTGATGAACCGCACCTGAAAGCAGTTTAATGTTTGAAGATCTTATCTTTAAACATATTCTGATTTACATATCCCATCGTTTCTTTAATCACAATAATAACTTAAAATATATTTATGTTTTTCGATATATGGGCATCAAATGAAATCTGACTACCAACGGTTACAGCTATATTATTGTATGAAGAGTAATTCCTACCCAGCATCTAGCATGTGTACTTGTGGGTTATACCTTCGTTATATTCTTATGTTTGGGTCGAGTTGGTGTAACCAGTTGTAATGTGTCCGGACTTCCAGCAGGTACTCTCCACAAGGTCTACTCATGGCATGGATGAATCTGTGATGGTGGACCTTATGAAATCGTAACATCTGTAAATTACATCCATTCGTCTACTACTTTTATAAGATGTAATACGATGGATCTTTCTCGGACGAATCAGATCTATTGAACAGCTTCGTATTCTGATTTCTGATGGTTGACTTTTCACAATTATATCCAATACTTTACGACAAAACATGCTTGTATAATTGCTATGTACCTATATGTTGATTCGTGGTTTGATTTCTTCAAAATTGTGTTAACAATCCTCAGATACGCTGTACTGGCTTTAGATTGCACGTAGTTCCAATATTTCTTGGGATTCGCTTTCGCTTCATGTGGGATTTACTTTATCTGTGTCGTTGTTGTCTTCCTGGCCATTCTCGTAATCGGTTCCACTATCCTACAATATTCTTTGTATGTTTTACCGCTCCCTGTTTTTAGAAAATTTGTCTGAAGACGCTGTTTGTGCTATATTTTAACAATGAATAATTGTCCGGTATCATCACATGGCGTTTATCTGTTGATGTTTTAATAGATTCCAATATAATTTTCTTTGTTTATGTTCTAAAGATTATATTTGCACTTACTCTGCTAATGTTTATAAAGATGTTTTTTTCTTTATTCACTTGTTATCAAAGAAAGAAAAAAACAATTGTACTTGAACTAGACCAATGGAGTGAGAACTAAAGTGCCAAATATAACATCACCTCTAAAGTATTTTTTTTTAAAAACTATCTTATATCGACAAAACCTCTCTAACTTTTTACTTCCAAAACAACTCATTTTGTATGCATACACTGAGTGGGTTTTTTTAAATTAAGATACCGAATTAGCTTGGTAAGTATTTAAGCATGACGATTATGGCCTTGGTGTGATCGTTAGCTAGACTACCTAGCATGGGACAATTTTGTTATCTATTGATCAGAAATCGTACGTAAAAGGTATCGCTTACAAACGTTCACCACACAATGGACACGAGTGCAAGTCCCATGTTCGCGGTGCAGAAATTCCCTCTTCTCGAAATTCCGACTTCAATACTAGTAGCACTTATAAACCTTATCTCGACTCACATTATGGAGTAGTGATTTCAACGATAGGGACCTTGAATGTCTATAAGAACTATTACAAATTGATACCTATTTATCGCTCATTAATCAAGAAGAGCGTTATTCGAGTGCAATTAAATTCAAAATGTAGATTCTTCATGGATATACTCAATTGAAAAGACAACTTGTGATTTTAGTAATTCTAAAAGAATTACAAAGGTGATATTCGTTGTAAGAAGGAAAGGTCGCCATACAAAAGAGTGTAAGGTTCTTCGTATAATATGGCATAATAAATTAGAGTAAAGCGCACTAACTGCTTTTATTAAATTGAATTAATCAAAATAAAAAAGAGAAGGTCTTGAAAGAAATAAAAACTTGATACTTGAATAATGAACTGGTGTTTTTATGATAGACATAACAGAGAGCTATCGTGCCTACCCTCCGTGTTACCAATTATTCGAGGTAACATTGAACTCTGAACATTTTAGATAAACGTCTGGTTGGAAAACCTCGTTGGTGAAATACGAGTCAACAAAGACAGCAGGTATCATCGATTACATCGACATTGGTCATTGTGACTGAACTATACAATACACATTCAAACAATTTAAAAAACAAAATTCTGAGGCGCGGACTGTTATATTAACAAACTCGCCTAGTTGAAGTAATTACAAGACTTTGTGAATTACACTCCAATAACAAAATAACTCTTTCCGTGACGTTCAAGTAATACTTTGGTAAAATAATAGTGACACGCAAACCATCCTTTTAAACTAGAACCACAATATAAATAAAACCCTGCAAGGTTTTATAATAGGAACCCCGCTAAGAGCGACTAGTCGTGTTCTCAGTGTGATGGTCAGCGACCTGAACAGGACGCTGATATAGATAGTGGGCCTACATTTGACGGGAATAGCTACATAATACTACGAGGATGGTAAAGCAGCCACGAGTCTTATATTTCTGTGTTATATTATTCTGTTCCATCCAGGGATTCTTGGCTGTTAAAAAAGGTAAGAAGCGTCTTTTTTCTATCAAATACTCGTTTTTTATTGAAAATTACTAATTATAACTTATAATTATATTACACAAGTTTCTTTAGGTTATAAAATGAGACTTTTGTCCGAAAACTAGTCCAAGACATTGATATTGATTCAATAAAAACTAACTGAAGTTAAATTGTGGTTTAACAAAATCTATATTTAATGATATTTGACGAAATTAATTAAGAGTGGTGCATGCCATTTACACAAATAACAACAAAGCGAAATGTAATGCTCCTAGCTTCAAAATATTGATTATCTATCAAATTCCTCTTATTTCATAGATATTTTTATTATAGGTTATCATTTTAAACAATATGTCAACCCAAGGGATTTATTAACGTGTTATAGACAAAGTCAACACGAAAAAACATAACTGACCATTCGTGAACAAGAGATTTATTCTGTGAAAGAAACGATACTAAGAACTAAACACAAGGGTTTTTGCTTAAATATCCGATCAAGGTAAAGTTGGCCAGTTGTTCGCTGTTCGTTTTTCATTATTCAAATAACGAATAACTTTCTACCTTTACTTTCCGGGGGAAGAAAGTAAAGTTAGAAAGTTATTCGTTATTCAAAATTAAACAGAAAAATAACCAAAGCGGATGCAGGTGCCAAACTTTTGAAAGGTTGCACGAACAGGGGGCGCCATAAACAGTATTCACAACGAAAATAATTAAGATTGAAATAGGCATTCACCCCGAGCATAAAAGGAACATAAAATTTGAACGAAATCTCAATTTCGACAATTTTCGAGCATAGGGTCCCAGGAGTCTAAAATCCGGTAATATTCCGCTTCATAATCTTACTAAGACAAGTGTTGTACATAAATAGTGTACCAGATGGAAACTTCACTCGCATAAAATGAAATACAGTATACAATTTAGACGGGCATGACCAGGAAGCAAAGCGGTTTTCTATTGACAAGTAGTTCTACCACGCGATAATACAATTTTGATAACTTGTGCCCAATCCATTTGCTTGGCAATAAAATATGTTTAAACTAAATTTACATGCGATTCGGTACGTCCTTATTTAACCGTTATTTTGCTGTTTACTACAAAAGGATTGAGGAAGTTAAGCATGTACAATTATGCCTTTTTTCTGATTCCCATGTCCTACATATCTACTTTTATTTAAATGTAATTAATTTGTCGGTTTAAGTGTTTAATACATTGTTTGATTTTGATTTTAATAATAACATTAAAATGTTATAAAACATGTTAAAATATTTATTCGAAATATTAGGATGACATGTTTACCGTTATGCCCCATGCTAATCCTTAATCACATCTAAATAATTGTTATATGCAGTCATTTACGTCTATACAAATATACAAATGCATTATTTTCAATAGGAATAAGATTTCTTTTCAAAGACACATTTTTAGATTTTGTATTTTCACTAGAAAAAACATATAAAAAGGCTTTTTAAAGAAGGGAGATCAGATACATTTCGGATTCCTGAATATTTTTATTGCACAATGAGTTATATACAAGGTCCCGCGTCCATTTATAACAAAAAAAAACTAGAACAAATCACACAACTTGTTTATACTCCCAGAATAAAATATACCACAGAGATTCGTCCATATCAACTCCATACCTTGATATGTGCATACAGTGTGACAAATAATGTATCTCAGCTACATAATTGACCAATGGGACAACTCTAATTTCACTTGTGGTCACTTTCTTTTCTTCATCAGTAATAAATCAGTTTACTAGTGAATGATTACGGCCATTTCTTGCTTTTTCGCCTTTCGCTTTGTCGACTAGACAAATCAATCAAGCAACGTTTTATATCCTTTGATAGCACACATGTTATTGCTAAAAATTCCTGTTCTTAGTACCATTACCAGTACTTTCACATTAACCAATACTCTTCACATTAACCAATACTCTTCACATTACCCAAGTACTCTTCACATTAATCAATACTCTTCACATTAACCAAATAAACCAGTACTCTTCACATTAACCAGTACTCTTAACCAAATAAGCCAGTCTTCACATTAACCAGTACTCTTCACATTAATCAATACTCTTCACATTAACCAGTACTCTTAAAATTAACCAATACTCTTCACATTAACCAAATAAACCAGTACTCTTCACATTAACCAATACTCTTCACATTAACCAGTACTCTTCACATTAACCAATACTCTTCACATTAACCAGTACTCTTCAAATTAACCAATACTCTTCACATTAACCAAATAAACCAGTACTCTTCAAATTAACCAGTACTCTTTACATTAACCAATACTCTTCACATTAACCAGTACTCTTCAAATTAACAAAAACTCTTCACATTAACCAATACTCTTCAAATTAACCAATATTCTTCACATTAACCAATACTCTTCACATTGACCAATACTCTTCAAATTAACCAATTCTCCTCAAATTAACCAATACTCTTCACATTAATCAATAATCTTCACATTAACCAGTACTCTTAAAATTAACCAATACTCTTCACATTAACCAAATAAACCAGTACTCTTCAAATTAACCAGTACTCTTCCCATTAACCAGTACTCTTCAAATTAACCAATACTCTTCACATTAACCAGTACTCTTCACATTAACCAGTTCTCTCAACATTAACCAGTACTCTTCACATTAACCTGTACTCTTCACATTAACCTGTACTCTTCACATTAACCAATACTCTTCACATTAACCAATACTCTTCACATTAACCAAATAAGCCAGTACTCTTCACATTAAACAGTACTCTACAAATTAACCAATACTCTCCACATTACCCAAATAAACCAGTACTCTTCACATTTTCCAGTACTCTTCACATTAACCACATAAACCAGTACTCTTCACATTAACCAAATAAGCCAGTACTCTTCACATTAAACAGTACTCTACAAATTAACCAATACTCTCCACATTACCCAAATAAACCAGTACTCTTCACATTAACAAATACTCTTCACATTACCCAAATAACCCAGTACTCTTCACATTTTCCAGTACTCTTCACATTAACCACATAAACCAGTACTCTTCACATTAACCAGGTCTCTCAACATTAACCAGTACTCTTCACATGAACCAATACTCTTCACATTAACCAGTACTCTTAAAATTAACCAATACTCTTCACATTAATCAATAATCTTCACATTAACCAGTACTCTTCAAATTACCCAATAATCTTCACATTAACCAGTACTCTTCAAATTACCCAATAATCTTCACATTAACCAGTACTCTTCAAATTACCCAATAATCTTCACATTAACCAGTACTCTTAAAATTAACCAATACTCTTCACATTAATCAATAATCTTCACATTAACCAGTACTCTTCACATGAACCAATACTCTTCACATTAACCAGTACTCTTCACATCAACCAAATAAACCAGTACTCTTTACATTAACCAAATAAACCAGTACTCTTCAAATTAACCAGTACTCTTCAAATTACCCAATAATCTTCACATTAACCAGTACTCTTCACACTAACCAATAATCTTCAAATTAACCAGTACTCTTTACATTAACCAAATAAACCAGTACTCTCCACATTAACCAAATAAACCAGTACTCTTTACATTAACCAAATAAACCAGTACTCTCCACATTAACCAGTACTCTTTAAATTAACCTCTTCACATTAACCAGTACTCTACAAATTAACCAATACTCTTCACATTATCCAGTTCTCTTCACATTAACCAATACTCTTCAAATTAACCAATTCTCCTCAAATTAACCAATACTCTTCACATTACCCAGTACTCTTCACATTAACCAAATAAACAAGTACTCTTCACATTAACCAGTACTCTTTAAATTAACCAGTACTCTTTAAATTAACCTCTTCACATTAACCAGTACTCTTTAAATTAACCAGTACTCTTCACATTAGCCAGTTCTCTCAACATTAACCAGTACTCTTCACATCAACCAAATAAACCAGTACTCTTTACATTAACCAAATAAACCAGTACTCTCCACATTAACCAGTACTCTTTAAATTAACCAGTACTCTTTAAATTAACCAGTACTCTTCACATTAATCAATACTCTTCACATTAACCAGTACTCTACAAATTAACCAATACTCTTCATATTACCCAAATAAACCAGTACTCTTCACATTTTCCAGTACTCTTCACATTAACCAATCCTCTTCACATTAACCAATACTCTTTAAATTAACCAGTACTCTTCACATTAGCCAGTTCTCTCAACATTAACCAGTACTCTTCACATTAGCCAGTTCTCTCAACATTAACCAGTACTCTTCACATAAACCAAATAAACCAATACTCTTCACATTTACCAGTACTAACCACATTTACCAGTACTCTTCACATTAACCAGGTCTCTCAACATTAACCAGTACTCTTCACATAAACCAAATAAACCAATACTCTTCACATTTACCAGTACTCTTCAGATTAACCAAATAAACCAGTACTCTCCACATTAACCAGTACTCTTTAAATTAACCAGTACTCTTTAAATTAACCTCTTCACATTAACCAGTACTCTACAAATTAACCAATACTCTCCACATTACCCAAATAAACCAGTACTCTTCACATTAACAAGTACTCTTCACATTAACCAGTACTCTACAAATTAACCAATACTCTCCACATTACCCAAATAAACCAGTACTCTTCACATTAATCAATACTCTTCACATTAACCAGTACTCTACAAATTAACCAATACTCTCCACATTACCCAAATAAACCAGTACTCTTCACATTAATCAATACTCTTCACATTAACCAGTACTCTACAAATTAACCAATACTCTTCACATTACCCAGTACTCTTCACATTAACCAATCCTCTTCACATTAACCAATACTCTTCACATTACCCAAATAAACCATTACTCTTCACATTTTCCAGTACTCTTCACATTAACCAGATCTCTCAACATTAACCAGTACTCTTCAAATTAACCAGTAGTCTTCACA